CCCTTGGAAAACATCCCTTTCTCACCTCCTGCATCCTTCCCTCGAGCCTCAGCCTCCCCCAGCCCAAACTCCTCCATCAGGGAGGATGAAAACCTGAAGGAAATCAACCCTGGATCCCATTCCTCCTCTGGGAGAGAGGGAAGAGTGATGAGATTCCACAATAGCCTTACCCACAGAGCAGAATCCTGGAGGGGAGATGACCTGGGTGCACTTTGTGAAGCAAATGCTCCTGCCTGGGAGCAGAGAGACAAAACACACCCATATTATACAATATATTTGTGCTTTAGCTCTGTCTGTTCCAGACAGACATTTGTGCATCCTCGACCTGGAAACAACCACATGAACACAGCTGGGTGTCCTTGCTTGGCTTGGTTTGGGTTTAATCCAGTTCTTCACATGCCCTTTTTTAAAACACAGCAAAATATAAATCTCTGAAGGTCTCTCTATGTGCATCATGCACTGAGGTTGTGCATCCATTCCATCCATCCCTTCATCCTGAACATGTTCCCGAGCCCTGCACGCACCAGGGCCTAACCCTGTGTTCCCCAAGTTCCTGCTCAGCTAAAGCAATTCATTTCAGCTGTTGTGGGAGAAAAAAGGACTTGCTTTGGGCTTGGCTTTTAAGCTTTTCTTGTGATGTTTCATTCCTTAGGAGCCTTTGTGCTTCCCTGCTGCTCCTTCCACTCACTGCTGGGGGGAGCTTGGAGCTGGGAGAGAGTCGTTCAAGAGAGGGCACAGCACGGAGGGGTTGGAGGGGAGACGGTTTTGATGGAATCAGGAGGATTTTGAGGTCGATTAGCAAAAAATGTGCCCTGCAGGAGGAGGATCTGGTGATATTCAGCCAAGGTGGGAGCAGCTCTCCTGTTCCAGGCTTGTCACGGATTGGTACCCAGGGCATGGAGCATCCTGGAGGTGATAACCTCCACCTCTTCCTTGGCACTAGAAATTTATTGGGAAGACTACAAGCTGGATTATGTCTCTGCTCTAGCACAGCTCTGCTGCTCTGGATGGGTTAGTGCTCTCTTTTCTGCTCTCTGCCAGATCAGATTTCTCCTAAGGGTAAAAATTCCAATGTGAGACCTTTGTTTCCTGGTCTGAGACACTGAGACAGTGATCCTCACTGAGAACCAGGCCCTAACTCACTGCCTGGTGTGATTACACTCAGAGAATTCTCCCTGAGCTCAGGATGGATCACAAATCATGGCAAGATGAGAGATGGTTGCTCCTCATCCCAGGCTGGGTATAGAGATGTTCAGACCAGCAGGATGAGGACTGAGGTCTCCAGTTCCAATGGGAATTGTAGCTCCTCAGCTAAGATCTTCAGAGCAGCTAAATTTTTGGGGTCTGAACCTCCTGAGAACAGCCACTCTGAGGAAATGCCTCATGGAGTTGTCTGGGCTGCAGCATTCCTGTTTTTCCAGCTGAATATTTAGTGTTTCTCCCCTGTACTGCAGGGAGAGGTCTGTATATACCCCAGAAAAGTGGCCAAATGCTTCAGTCAGGCTTTTTCTGCCTTTCTGAGCCTGGTGATGGATTCACAATGCCTAAAAGGAATTTCTTACAGACACAGGGCTGGGCTGGACATTGCCCAGGCAGAGCAGAGACCATAGGAATTGTGCAGGGAAGTTTTGTGTTTTATAGATTGTCAGGACATTGCTACAACTGCTGGGAAATGATCCAGGTCTGGGAGGTCTCTCCTGCCTCCCCTGCCCACTGCACTGTGGCTTAGGAAAATTTCCAGTGAGGATTCAGTGTGGAAAAGCACTGAACCATCCCAGACCTCTGGTTTGCCCTAGGCTGCAGCATCGTGGGAGACAAGGAGACACATTCCCATCTTGGTGGGTTTTAGTGCACTTTTCTACACTTCTAATTCTACCCTAATTCCACTATTGGCAGCAGGATCTCCTCCCTGCCCTTTTTCAGCCTCCCTGAATCCAGTTTGAGATCCTGGAGTCAGGTGGGAAAAGTAATAGGGAAGGACTGAGAGCACAACCCAAGTTGTGCATCGCAGGAAACATTTAGGCTAAAGAAAAAAAAAAAAGACAGAGAATTGCTCTTCCCTGATGTTGCTCTGGTTTCCTTCTTCTCCTCTGCTCACCCCATAAGGGGCTGGGGGGGAAATTGGACTGGGAGGGTAGTGAAAATCCAGGAGCATCCCAGTTCTGCATCCCACTGCCCTGAGCTCACTGCTCTCCCAAGAACCCATGGGTGGGACTGGGAGTGTTGGGAATTTGGGGATGGCCCTGAGCTCCTGACCCTCCTGGCTCTACCCACAGGACGACTGGGGAGGGGAGAGGGAAGGGAAGAGTTTCAAAGGTCACTTTTTCCCCCCCTGTTCCCTTCCTTATTGCAGGGGCGGCGGCTGGGACAGAGGAGGGTGAGGAGGAAAGAGGGGGAAGGGAGGGAAGGAGTCACCTTTCCCTCCCCAGGCGATGCTCAGAGGGCTCCAAGGGGTCCAAGAACTCCAGGGATTCCTTAGACCTCAACAGCTTTTTAACCTCCAACGAAAAGCCAAATCCAAATGCAGGTATTTCTTATCATTTCCCATTAATTAAATTAGTTAAATTCCTGGCAGCTTCCCCACTCCGCTTTCCAGGTTGTTAGGAGCATCCAACTGTTCCCTCCCCAGGCGATGCTCAGAGGGCTCCAAGGGGTCCAAGAACTCCAGGGATTCCTTAGACCTCAACAGCTTTTTAACCTCCAACGAAAAGCCAAATCCAAATGCAGGTATTTCTTATCATTTCCCATTAATTAAATTAGTTAAATTCCTGGCAGCTTCCCCACTCCGCTTTCCAGGTTGTTAGGAGCATCCAACTGCTGCAGGGAATTCATTGAATTTAGGGGATAAACTCCTTGCTGTGAATCATTTAAATTCCCAAAGTTTCCTTGCCAGGATGGCGAAATAATAATGCCAAGTCGCAGTGGATGAGTGAGTGAGCTGTTTGTTTACCACAAGTGCCAGACTACATCAAATCCCACTCTTGGATACAATGGAATTATTGTTGGTTTCCGACAAGGACAGGGAGCTTTGTCTTCTGCTTTGTAGAAACAGAATTCCATCCTTTTCCAAAGAGCCAAACACAGGGATAACACATTACCAGATCCCGACATTTGCAATATTTTTTCCTCCAGGGTTCTTCTTCCAAACCAGGCGGTTTTAAGGATGAAAAGGGATTTTTCAGGCTGGTTGGAGTTCAAAATCCAGCAGGTTTCAGCGGAAAGTTGGACTAGAAGCTCGGAAGGAATTTTTATCCATGCAGAAATAGCTGAGTTAGGGCTGAAGAAATCACTTTGAAGTCGTTTATGCAGTTGTAGGTAAAAAAAAAAAGTAGTTGTCGCTGCCTATAGGTGTGATAAATAAATGCAGCCAGGGAAATTAGAACCGAGAAATGGGAATTTCCATCTCCATCACCTCCAAGAGGGATAAATGTTTAAATATTCGCTGCTCTTAACGTGCCCATGGTAAATACAGACCTTGGCAACGAGGTCATTGCACAGCTCAAATCTCATGTCAATTTGAACATCAACACCATGAGCTTTTTTCACTCGTTTTCCCTAAAAAAAAATATGAAATTCCTTCTATTTTCTTTTTGCCGAATAACAACTCGGGCGGGTTGTGTTGCAAACCAATGGGAATTATTATCATGGGTAAATCTTTAGAGATTTTCGGTTTTTTAGATTTTTTTTTGACTCGGGATCAGATCGACTCACATCGATCCAAACTCCCCCCGAACATCCCATAAGGACAAACCATAATTAACACCTTCTAATTACAATCAAGCCCCGATAGCCCTTTGCGAACTTTAGGTTTAAACCCCCGAAGTGCATTTATCAATGTATTAGATAAATAAATGTGCAAATAAAGACTAAGAATTTCGAAGTTTAGGCTTGAAATTTTTCGATTTTAATTCACATTTTTCGTTCGAAGTGTAGAAATAAATAGAAAGGCTTCATTTAGTCTTGTTAATATTTATACGGCAATAAATATATGGAGAAATATTACAATATTAACGTATTATATGGATTATTATAATAATAAGCATTAACAAAATAGTTATCCAGAGGTTTCTTAGGTGGATATGAAGAGGAGAGTGTAGAAAACGCAGTGCAACATCCCAAATTCTGGAATTATCATGTAACTAAAGTCATAAATAGAAATTTTTCTGTTATAGTTCACAGAGTGTAAAGGAAAAATGTATTTCCATCCCTTCTCTTAATTTTTTAGGACTTGTCAAACCACAAAAGAAACCTCCAAACCCCCAAATAACCACAACGACAAACCCACCCCAAAACTCACCCAAAGGACTGAGATAACACTTCTAAACAGAGAAAAGAGGATAAAATCGATGACTATTTTAAACCCTTTTTTTTTCCTCCCACTGTGTTGCCTAAATCCCCCTAAATCCCGATGGGAGAGGAGTTTTTTTCCTCTCTCTCTGCAATATTCCAACGTTACCTGTTTTTTTAGCTATCACAGAAAAAAAAGGATTATTTTTTTCTCTCCTGTTTTCCTCTCCCACACACTTTAGGAGAGGAAATTTCGCTGGGTTTGGGGGTGCACTAATTCCCAAAAAAATCCTTCCTGGGAGGGAAGATGCTGCTAATATCCTACTCCTCTCTGACAAAGGGATCGAGTTGTCACCCGCAAAGGAAAATTCGGTTTAGTAAAATGAAGCCAAGGCTGAAAGTGCCCCCAAAGTGCCCCCAAAGTGCCCCAAAATTCCCCAAAGTGCCCCCAAAATTCCCCAAAGTTTCCCCAAAGTGCCCCAAAGTGCGCCCAAAGTGCCCCAAAGTGTCCACAAAGTGCCACAAAGTGCCACAAAGAGTCCACAAAGTGCCACAAAGAGTCCACAAAGTGCCACAAAGTGCCCTCAAAGTGCCCTCAAAGTGCCACGAAGTGCCCCAAAGTGCCCCAAAGTGTCCCAAAGTGCCCTCAAAGTGCCCCCAAAGAGTCCCCAAAGTGCCCTAAAGAGTCCCCAAAGTGCCACAAAGTGTCCCAGAGATTCCCCAAAGTTCCCCAAAGTGCCCCAAAGTGCCCTCAAAGTGCCCTCAAGTTCCCCAAAGTGCCCCCAAAGTGCCCCCAAAGTGCCCCCAAGTGCCCCAAAGTGCCCCAAAGTGTCCCCAAAGTTCCACAAAGTGCCCACAAAGTGCCACAAAGTGCCCCAAAGTGTCCCCAAATGCCCTAAAGTGCCCCCAAAGTGCCCTCAAAGTGCCCCAAAGTGCTCCAAAGAGTCCCCAAAGTGCCTCCAAAGTTTCCCAAAGATTCCCCAAAGTTCCCCAAAAAGTCCCCAAAGTGCCCCCAAAGAGTCCACAATGTGCCCCCAAAGTGCTCCAAAGAGTTCCCAAAGTGCCCCAAAGTGCCTCCAAGTGCCCCCAAAGTTCCCCTAAGTTCCCCAAAGTGCCCCAAAGGTTCCCCAAAGTTCCCCAAAAAGTCCCCAAAGTGCCCCCAAAGTGCCCCCAAATGCCCCAAAGAGTCCACAAAGTTCCCCAAAGTGTCCCAAAGTGCCCCAAAGTGTCCCCAAAGTGCCCCCAAAGTGCCCCCAAATGCCCCAAAGAGTCCACAAAGTTCCCCAAAGTGTCCCAAAGTGCCCCAAAGTGTCCCCAAAGTGCCCCCAAAGTGCCCCCAAATGCCCCAAAGAGTCCACAAAGTTCCCCAAAGTGTCCCAAAGTG